TGAAGCCGTCACTCCTACGCCTACATACATCCAGATGCCCCTGATACACAGATTCTTGATTTCCTCTTTTCTGATTGATTCCTTACCTGTTGCTGCGTTGTAGACTTGAGTGCGTATAGCCGTTGAATTGGAATGTTATAAAAGTAAAAAATCGCCGAAAATGCAGCAGGACTCGTCTCCTTATATAGATTACTTTATCATTGAAGAGGCGAGCTTGAAGAAAGCAACGTTAAAATTTATCACCGACGAAAGAGATATGGTAATAAAATATTATTATCTTTATTGTTAGGCTTTTTTTTCGCAAATATTTGTGCAGTTAGAAGAAAGGTGCGTTTAATCGACAAAGCTTATAACAAGTTGTGAAAAGGGCAAAAGTAATAGATGCTCTGAAAATTCGACGATTGGCATCAAGAGTTACCTGTTTCTTTTTCTGGGTGTCGGTGCGAGTGTATAGCGTGTGGCGAATGTGAATTTGGCAGAGCGTGGATGTGGATTTGGCTGTGGCTGTGGGGTATAGGATGGTTGTGAATATCGAGTGTGAGTGAGTGCGGGTATAGGATGTTAGCGTCAACGGATGTCGCATTATGACGCTAACTTATGTCCAGTGTATTACATATACATATATTTTGTTTTTTTCTTTTTCTTTTCTGTCATATATGTATATGTGAGAATACATCCCATTCCGCGATGTTGAACATTCCGGAATCAGTTCCCGTCCCGGAATCTATTCCATCGATTCCGGAACTAAATTCAACCACGCCACAATCCGATTCCGGAATCATTTACAACAGATCCAGAATCGCAACAATTTGGAAGGAATTCCGCGGAATTCTTAGTGATTCCGGAATCGCTCAGCCTTGCCATCACTCGCATCGGCTGAGGCTTATAACTGGATGTAATTCCGGATATCGTACGGATCCGGAATCGCAACGATTTCGAAGGAATTTCGCGGAATTCTTAGTGATTCCAGAATCGCTCAGCCTTCGTATCACTCTCATCGGCTGAGGCTTAGAAGTGGATGTAATTCCAGCCACCGGACGCATCCGGAATCGCAAGGATTTGGAAGGAATTCCGCGGAATTCCTAGTGATTCCGGAATCGCTCTGCCTTGCCATCGCTCTCATTGGCGGATACTTATAACTGGATCTAATTCCGGGACGGAATTCCGGGTATCGTATGGATCCGAAATCGCAAGGATTTCGAAGGAATTCCGCGGAATTCCTCGTGATTCCGGAATCGCTCAGCCTCGATATCACTCTCATCGACTAAGGCTTATAACTGGAGGGTGTGGGTGTGTATATCTTCTCATCACACACCTACACACCTACACACCCACACCTGCACCCACACCCACACCCACATCCACACCCAGCCACCCACACCCACACCACACCCACACCCCACACACACCCACCCTACATAATTTATTTGGTCTTATACATCGTATATCAGTTGCGAGTCATTTATTCGTTTGTAAAGGAATATATTTAGATGAAAATGGTTTTGTATTAGTTTTATTAATTGAACAATTTCTTCCATTATCATATATATCTGTATTACGTTTAACTGAATTAATTGTTTATGATCGTATTGAAATGATGTTAACACTTGACCAATAAACATTAAATAAACAATTATTACCTAAATATTTACCATTAATTTTATAAATATTATCAATAACAATATCAGTCGATATTATTAAAGAAGATTGAGGGTGTAGGTGTGGGTGTAGGCGTTCCTTTTGTCGCTAATCACATACACCCACACCCACACCCACACCCACCCACATCCTCGAGTATTCATTTTAGTAAGAAAAAATTCGAATAAAATAATTTTGGAAGGTATTGAATGTACCATCCATTTTCTAAATCATATTTGTCTTTGATAATTATTTTAACATACGATTAACTTATTTATTCAGATGATGGTGATGGAGTATTGACATAAATAATTTGTTGAATTACAGGTTTTCGTTTTTTTGCTCGTTTTTCTCGTCGATATCTTTCTAAATCTTCACATGTTGGATCAATACCAAAACAGTATTTTAATATATCCATTATAATAACAAACATAGCAACAGATGATATTGCAATAATTGCAACATACGCAAAGGATTTTGAAACAATTTTATAAATTTTAATTCTTAATGATGTAAATTCACAACGGCGACCATAATAACTATCACCAAGACATTTACATTGATAATTCGATAATAATGATCGACAAACACCTTTATTCCAACATGTGACATTATCACAAAAATTTATTATTGATTCACAATTAATTCCTTGCCAACCTTCATTACATATGCAATTAAATGTTGAATTTGATGTTTCATTACATATACCTTAAAATAAAATATATTTTTTATTATTTGTTATTTGATAGCATTATGTATATATACCATGATAAAGACAAGTATGTGGTTTACAAGGTCGATAATCAAATTCACAATGAGTACCATTAAAACCAGGTAGACATGAACAATTATAACTAGGAATATTTGTTTGAACATTTTCACATATTCCATTATTTTGACAAGGTGAAAGTATTTTACATAAACTATTCGAAATATTACAACGGATGCCAATATTTGTTGTATTAGGACAAGGCTCTGGTACAAAGTATGATAAGAATGGTTCATCTAAAGAGTACATAACAAGTGAAATAAATAATAATAATAAAAAAACAAAGAAACAAAACCAAACGAACTCGTTGATGTTACAATCAAACCTATTAAAAAAAAAGAATTTCTCTATGATCAGAAGAAAAAAATAAATTTACTAGTTGTATCGTTGATTAAAGAAATAGATATATCATTTGTATCTAAAAGTAAAAAGAAGTTTAACATATCAATTATATAACTAAAAGCAAATAATCTGTTGAAAAAGACCTGAGTACAATTGTGTTTATATGCATTTACAATTATCTCGTATCATTGCTTTTTCTAATAGTACGGACTCCTTCTCTCTTGAATAGAGCACTGACTCATGGGCCTACAATTTTTGAAAAATTCATGAAATTTCCATGATACGATAATAAAACTTGTTATAGAAACAACTTCATTATAATATTAGAATAACACATTATTATATTTTCACGTACTAGCGATATATTGAACAAAGTCAATCTTCGATTTGTTTTGATTTAGAAATATCATTGAAAAATCCATGTTAGCAACGTAATCCAATAGATACATAAGAAAACTATTTTTTCATACTTAATTTTAAATATAATACATAAGGACCGTAATTAAGGAATTTATTGTGAAAAGCTTTTTTTCAAATATTTCTCGACTTTTTCAAAAATCATAAGAAAGATGAATGAGTAATAAATAATAGAAAAGTAACTGAGATTCGAATTTAAAATCATATATATCATCCTTACAAATCTCAAAAAAAAGATTTTGTATCTATAAAGTGCTGTTTTAAGTAAGAACAAAGAAATAAAGTCTGACCTAATACAAGGTTATATTCTGAAGTCTATTCTTGAATCTTTCGATGTTTTTTCATTATTTTTCAATTCCATGAAAATATTAGATAATTAAGTATGACTTAAAAGAGCTATAATTTTTTACATATATTCATAGTAAAAAATTATTCAAAATGATAATTTTCATACAAAGCTAAATTTAAATCACCATTGTTAATGTACTGTTTTTTATTTGACAGATTTTGTTGTTTGCATATAATAATCATACCCTAGTGAATGTACTGAGCTAAGGGTACCCGAAAAAGTACCCTGCTACTACCCTAGTGAATGTACTGAGCTAAGGGTACCCGAAAAAGTACCCTGCTACTAGTATGTCACAGGAACTTTCGGGTACTGAAGTACCTTAAAGTACTTTTAGGTACCTATAAGGTACTCGACCAAGTACCCTGCTGGAAAGCATCCAATAAATGGGTACTTGAAGATACTGATCAAGTACCCAACTGGGTACTATTGTTCAGTAATTTTGGGTACCCTGTTGCCAAACTTGCAGTATGTTGATGATTGAAACTAACCTCTGGCTTTTTTTCATTTTTGTTTCTCTCAAAGCAATTTATGATATTTTTTCGATTTTATTTTATTTAATTTTTCCAATTCTGAAAAGTCAAGCAGGTCAAATTTCGAGATCTGACCGGATGCGAATTGGTCGGATCTCCATCAGACTACTTCAAGGTAATCCTCTCTCAATCTACGATTGAGATCAGCATGTCCTCGACTAGTAAATAGTCAAGAAAAATAATCTAGAAAAAATTAGTATGAAAAAATATTTTTTTCTTATGCTTCCTCGAGTTGGTTATATGAAGCCGTATATGCAAAAGAAAATGGTGAATGAACAGTTGCTACACAGAACGCAACAAATCTAGGGTACCCTGTAGAGCTTTTCCTAGTAAAATTACAGGTGCGGGTACTCATGCAAGTACTTGTTCAGTAAACATACTGCAATGGGTACCCAATGCAGCACCTACGTCAGTGTAATTACTGAAAATTTTCGAAGTACCCATATCGGGTACCCTGCTGAGGCTTTCTCAGTACATGGGTACCCTGAACTCAGTACTTTCTCTAGGGTATGATATACAGTTTCTAGTAATCAAATTTCGACCATTTCTTGTACCTAAATCTCTACATAGTTTACAAAAACAAAATCTATAGAGAAGTAGAATGATAAATTCAAAATTTCTTCATGGTTTGTATATACACAATTTCATTTTTATGATTAGTAATATAATATTAATAGGAGGTTCTGAATGCTATTAAAATGGGAAATGTTGAATATTTCCATTAGGCTTCTCTAAATACATACGAAGGAGATCGGTAAGAACCTATGGTAATTATATTGTTTTATTTTCCTATATGTATAAAAAAGTAAAATTTTCCTATTGAGATCATTAGTGATACTTAACAAAAGTTCTCACTAACCTTATCCGTATGAATTTCGAGTGTTTACATTTCTATATCCTTGGTAAAAAAAAATGAATCCGTTTGATCGAGTCATAATGGTGATATTCAACCTTTTCTTTGTGAAGGTGCTTACTGGATACCTTTTTACATGCCGATGGACTATACATCTCCATATACCAAACATTTATCTCGTTCTAGTTTTGTATACTTTTTAAAATTTATACCAATAGATCTCTTATATTTTTTTACTGCCTTCATAACTTTTAAAGATAAAAAACAGAGCAAAACGATAGGAGAGAGGAAGAAAATGCTAATATCTTGAAAGCTTAGAACATACTGAAAGGTGACAAATGTATTTTATAATTGTGTTCTTTTGTTGTTTGTATGCATGTATATAACGAGACTTGCAAATATTCCAATTGTCAAGTTATAGATAATCTTAGATAGGATTTTATATGCTGTAATAAACCTACCTACTAATGATATTGTAATACTTTCTTTATTTCTATAATAAAAAATATTGATATGTTAATTCATTGAAAATCGTATGAAATATTATAGTTAACGCAAAATGTTTTGATATTATCAAAAATTCTCATAAAACAATTTGAGATTATTTATGAATAGATCCTAATATATTAATCAATCGATTTTATTGCTTAATAAAAAATTTATCCTGAGTAGATTTGTAAGATGCATTATGATCAAGCCGAGATTTCAAGTAATACATAGCATTGATCAACTCGTTTCTAGGCTCTGTTACATGAACGTATTCGTCATAAAACTACAGTATTTTTAACGAACAACAAACATTAGTGTTCATTGACATTGTATCAAAAAATTAGGGTTATTTATGTTTTCCGTGCAGACAAGCTTATTCTCATGATTTCAACTGATTGATATACGATTCTGTTGTTGTTTTTTCAATCAAACTATTATATAAATAAAAATTTACATTTATCTTTGTCATTCGAAAAATTCATTGTTTACATTAAAAGTAACCTACATTTGCTTCATTACAGAATATCTTATTTCTAACTACGCCGTATATCTAATTATCATATTTTGAATAGAAAAATATTTTCTTATCTGAAAAGGTTCTTATGACACTTCAAAAATCATTTGTAGACAGCTTTTGACAATACGCTCACGAACTTAAAAACTTCGATGACGACTTACCAGTTTGATTTAAACTAATTGCAATGCTTGAACTGTCAATTGTTGTTGAAATAGTAGTAGATCCAATCTCATCTTGAAACATAAATTAGTTATAGAAATTAAATGCATAGAAAACATGTATCAGTCCTACCTATGGTAGTAGTTAATGTTGATGTTTGTTGTGATTGTGTTGTTGCAACTAAATAATTATTTCGTAAATGTCCGTAAAAATTATAAAAAAAAGTTATGAATAAAATTTAACAGTTAGAAAAGACCAAAATTATGATTAAATAAAGTTATTTTACTTGCTCATAGTTCAATCAGTAAGTAAAACGATTCACCTAGATTCTATTTACAAGTCGCACAGTTTGTATTTCAAATTAAGTAATTATACTTCAATATCATTAAAAAAAATGAAAAATTCAAAAATATCTTGTAAATTATGATAAATTTCAGTTCATGTCTTAGTACTTTCTTCTTTTTTTGACAATGTTTGGAAAGATTCGCAAAACACTCATGGTAAGAGTCAATTGGCAGAAACAAATTAGGTTACTCCTCATTACGATAAATAGTTAATATTGAAAAAAAAGCTGTTAGCGCAATCCCTTGCGGGATTAAAAATGTGAAACACGATGTAGCAGTTATTAATAATCAAGTGAAACCTTCTTTACAAACTCAAAAAGCTTAAAGGAAAAATTTACCGAATATTTTTTTCCCTCTATTAATATTCGTCTCCGTTCAATCGCTTTCGTGGTTCATGACGAAGCAGAGCCTGTCTGTCACGGTCTGTGATGGGTTCAAAGCCTGTCTGTCACGGTCTGTGATGGGTTCAAAGCTTGTCTGTCACGGTCTGTGATGGGTTCAAAGCCTGTCTGTCACGGTCTGTGATGGCTCCAGACCCTGTCTGTCACGGTCTGTGATGGGTCCAAAGTCTGTCTGTCACGGGTCCAAACCCTGTCTGTCACGGTCTGTGATGGGTCCAAAGCCTGTCTGTCACGATCTGTGATGGTTCCAAAGCCTGTCTGTCACGGTCTGTGATGGGTCCAAAGTCTGTCTGCCACGGTCTGTGATGGGTCCAAACCGTGTCTGTCACGGTCTGTGATGGGTCCAAAACCTGTCTGTCACGGTCTGTGATGGTTCCAAAGCCTGTCTGTCACGGTCTGTGATGGATCCCGGGCCTGTCTGTCACGGTCTGTGATGGGTCCAGAGCCCTGTCTGTCACGGTCTGTGATGAGTCACGTGACTGTCTGTCACGATCTGTGGGGGGGGAGGGTCCAAATGTCTACCCTTAAACACTTCAACACTCCTTTCAGATCGTGTTTCACAAAATATGTTTACATCCTTTGATAATAAGTTTTATTAGTTAATGATGTTCGATAATCGCTTACTAGTTCCAATATTTGATGCATCATTTGTAGACATGTACCAAACCCAAACCGTTTGAGCTCGAAAATATTGGGCTCGACTCGATTTGAATTCGAACTTGAAAACTCGATTGAGCTCGAACTCGATCGAGCTCAAACTTCAAAAGCTCGAGCCTGAGTCGAGTTCGAGTTCCATGGATCAAGTTTGGATTGAGCTCAGTGATGGCTGTGGATGTGGGTGTCGACGTGTGTGAGTCTCAACCAAAAGTAATTGAGGTTGAGGAATCTGAATCTGCAATTAGTTTTTCGAAATTCTGAGCTTGATTTTTTTCGTAAAAGAAAGGCTTTTTTAAGAAAATAACATTTTTTAATAAGGCTTAACCGAAGGTAATCGAGGTCGAGGAATCTGAATCTGCAATTCATTTTTGGAAATTTTGAACTTGATTTTTTCCATGAAAGAAAGGCTTTTTCAAAAAAATAACTCTTTTTTTTTATAAGGCTTAACCGAAGATAATCAAGGTCAGGAAATCCGAATCTGAAGTCAATCCCGCAAAATTTTGAGTTTGATTTTCGTCTTGAAAAGAGCTTATTTACCGGAAAACATTGCTTTCTCGAGAAGGAGCTTTTTAATGAAGGAACTCTCGTACATAGGAAGCAACTTTTTCACTTGAAAACTTCTTTTTTTCTAAGAAAAATGATTCTTTTAGTAAAGGGAATAGTTTAAGCGTAAAAAACGAGAGTTGTTGCTAACAAAGTGCTTTTAGAAAAAAGAGTCAAGTTCAAAATTTCCAAAAACTTATTGCAGACTTAGTTTCCTCGACCTCAATTACCTTCGGTTAAGCCTTATAAAAAACGTTATTTTCTTAAAAAAGCCTTTCTTTTATGAAAAAAATCAAGTTCAGAATTTCGAAAAACTAATTGCAGATTCAGATTCCTCGACCTCAATTAGTTTCGGTTAAGCCTTATAAAAAAAAACGTTATTTTCTTGAAAAAGCCTTTCTTTTATAAAAAAAAATCAAGTTCAAAATTTCCAAAAAATAATTGCAGATTCAGATTCCTCGACCTCGATTACCTTTGGTTAAACCCTATTAAAAAATGTTATTTTCTTAAAAAAGCCTTTCTTTTATAAAAAAAATCAAGTTCAAAATTTTCAAAAACTAATTGGAAATTCAGATTCCTCAACCTCAATTACCTTCGATTAAGCCTTATAAAAAAACGTTATGTTCTTAAAAAAGCCTTGCTTTTACGAAAAAAATCAAGTTCAGAATTTTCAAAAACTAATTGCAGATTCAGATTCCTCAACCTCAATTACCTTCGGTTAAGCCTTATAAAAAAACGTTATTTTTTTTAGAAAAGCCTTTCTTTTACGAAAAAAATCAAGTTCAAAATTTCGAAAAACTAATTGCAGATTCGGATTCCTGGACCTCAATTACCTTTGGTTGAGTCTCACACACGCCGACACCCACATCTACAGCCATCACTGAGCTCAATCCAAACTTGATCCATGGAATTCGAACTCGACTCAAGCTCGAGCTTTTAAAGTTTGAGCTCGAACGAGTTCGAGCTTTTGGGGTTTGAGCTCGATCGAGTTCGAATATCTCTTTTCGAGTTCGAGCTCAATCGAGTTTTCAAATTCGAGTTCAAATCGAGCTCAGTCTCATAAAGCTAGGTATCAAAACTCGAAGTTGGGTTCGGGTTTGGTACATGTCTAATCATTTGGCTTTAAAGATTTAATCAACTTAGCCGAACTGGTTGAAATAAAATTTAATTCTAGATATAAAACAAGATAAAATATCCATCGATCTTACCCATGCTGGTAGTCAATATTGATGTTGGTTTTAATTGTGTTGTTTCAACTAAATTATTATTAATAAATAAATTTATTTTTAATGTCATCATTTGTGTGGTAAAATACTAAATGTTAAGTACCCTACAATGTTAGCCATTCTATCATATGAGAATATAAAAACTCGCAGAGATTATCTTTCACATGATTAAAAAGCTTTGATATCTATGCAATTACTAAATGTTTGTTTCTTGAAAAAAAATCTAAAAACGTATCGAAAAAAGACAATAACCATGAGCTGAAAGTTTTCGGACAAAATGTTTCTTTATTTTTCGATTGATTAAGTGAGTCAACAGAAATTTTAGAACAATGAATTAGAATCAAAATTTTGTCTCCTTTCAAAATCTATATTGAGAATTTTCGTAGGACTCATAGTTTAAAAGTTATTATAGAATATTTTGTAGAGAACGACTTCGCCCGCAAGTCTGTACAAAAAAATGGATTATAGAGGAAGGCATTACTGTCGACAACCAAGTATAGTGTCAAGACGCTGATCCAGATAATTTGAAAAGGCCGTACAGTCAAGCAAAAGCTAAATTGGACGTCTTTACAATGGAAATAAGAACGTACCGAGAAAGGCTTCTGAATAATAACAAAAAATCAATATCATCACATTTTATTTTTCTCAATCTGTTAGTGTAACTGCTTTCGTTCAAAGTCAATTTTTAGGCCTCCGGAAAATTCTACCATAACTCTCAAACTATGAGTCCTATGAAAATTTTCAACATAGATTTTGAAAAGAAACAAAATTTTGATTCTAATTGATTGTTCTAAAATTTCTGTTGACTCACTTAATCAGTCGAAAAATGAAAAAACGTTTTGTCCGAAAATTTTCGGCTCACTCATTAGTTGTATTGCAAAGCTATTGATAAATTAATGTACTAAGCTAAGATTATTTCAACGTTCTAGAATTTGTTTTTCAAAAACTCATAAAAATCTTACAAGAAAGAGTAAACTGATAGAAGAAATTTTTATCATTGATAATCACTATGACTGTCACCTCAGATAATAAACTTTTTCTAGTATGATCATTCATAATTTATGATTTCACTGTTCAAAGGCTAAATATTTGTTTTTTCAAATCATAATCAAATGGTAAATATGTTTGACTAACAAGATATAATATTTATAAAATTAAGCACAACTTGTCATTCGAGATACTGACCTTGTTGAGTAGTAATTGAGAGAGTACTTGTTGCGTATTCGAGTGTTGAAGTTATTGTTGCAATCGGAGTATCTATATTTGGAAAAGAAAACAACCATAAAATAACTTCACAAAATAAACTATGAAATAACGAATCTATTCGCGTTAATAATTTTCATTTTTTGAAAAAAAATCTATGAATTTGATGAGCAAATGATAGGATTTATACTGTTCGATTGATATACATGTTTAAAAATATGGATCTTATTCGAAGCAGAGTATATGTTTAAAATGAATAGTAAAACTAAAGATTTTCAATTAGATAAATGAAGTACACAATGGTTTTGTTACTCAATTAGAAATATGGATTCGAACAATTCATATAACGGGTCAAACTATTACATCAAACAAATACTGGCTCCACAACATATCGTTTCTTTTTATCTGCAGTTTTTTTTTATTAGACATACCACATTTATTTGCTACTAGAATGAATTTTTGTATCCGACTATTATGTCCATCAGGAACAAATAAGTTACCATAACTGTCGAAATGAAGAGAGTATGGTCTATTCAAGTGTTCGTTTGCAGATCCTAGATTACCCTTGCAACCAATTATACATCGATAAGTGTCATTGATTGATCGAATAATACGATGATTTTCGCTATCAGCAATATATAAATAACCATCAGCATCAAGTATGACATCTGCAGGTTTATTTAATGTTAAATTATTTGAAATTCTATTTCCTGCAACTGTCGTTCCATTCCTTTGCCCTGCTTGGAAACGTTGGATTCTATTGTTTCCGTAGTCAGCAATATACAGGTCAAAATTACTGTCGACAAATATGCCCAAAGGTCGATAAAGCTGATCAGGATTTGACCCACTGAAGTTCGTTCCTGCTACGATGATTGGAGTTTCTGAAGTTCTGTTAGATGGCAGCTTAAAAACTTGATGCGTATCTGGAATCGAACAGTAAATACTATTGTTATTATCCATAAATAGGCCATGACAGTGTCCTGAAAATTTCGCCAAAAGAATACTCGTAGAATTCTTGAGCAGTTGGTATACTATTCCTAACTGTTTCTGCCCGAAGTTGTTTTGATCAGATCCGAAATAGATGTCGCCATCAATGTTTACGAACAGACTAGTGTATTGTGATAGTCGAACGTTTGGACTTTTTATTGGTGTGATATTTTGCTCATACAGTATTAAAGTTATTTTTTTCTCGTATATACCTACATAGAGTGTATTATTAGAATCGACGAAGATCCCAGTGGTATAACTTTCAATGAATGTTTTATTCATAACAGTGATTCCAGCCGAATTCCATTTTGCGTTTGGACATATTTTTGGTTGATTGTATGGAACTATGTAGAAAAGAAAAAAATTAACATACAAACATGAACCTCCGTTGTTATTTAATCATTTTACACAATGATAAGAAAAACTCAAACCAAAAGTAGATAGTTGACTTCGAACTATGTATTATTTGATAATAGACGGAAAGTCAATATTACCTTGATTGTTATCGAACTTGAGAAAAATACTAGAGTGATATGTTTATCGTACGAAAAAGGCTTGCATAAATTCGACAATAAAATTGAGAAAAACATTCAAAAACATTGTTGATCTAAGGCCTAATCTAATCAAACGTTCTATCAATCTGGTCGGTAGTTTTATAAATTAGTGAACATTTTAGAGTCTACTATATGAAAAAATACTAGAATCTTTTCTCCAGGGTGTGGGTGTGTGAGTGTGGGTGTGGGTGTGGGTGTGGGTATGGGTGTGGGTCTACTGTCCATCTGCACCCACACCCACATCCAGCCACACCCACCCACACCCCACCCACACCCACATCCAACATACCATCATGCATCAGAATCGAAAATGTTTGGTTGTAGGTTGTCGTAAAGTCATAATCAGAAGGCTTTTTATTAGAAAACATATTTGAACCACTGTCAAATGTAATCAGAAAAAGTGTTGTAAAATTCGTAGTGATATTATCAGAACATAAACCAAAGGATTCTATTGAAATAAAAAGAATGAAACTAGACATACTCTGAATCATACTTGGAACCGGACCAGCGGGTCTGTTGGTTACCGGTCCGGTCTAGTCCAGTTCAGCCTTTAAGACCGGCCGGTCTTCACCGGTTTTTTTACAATTTTTTGAGAATTAAAACTTGCTTATTTTGCTCATTTTTTAGGACTTCCATAGGATCAACGGTCGAAAGATTTGATCCGGAAAGTTTTCCACTGGCAAAATTCCAATCACATTGGAAATCTCAACTCTAAATATTGACCAACACTTTTTCATCTATCCATCAGAGACTCATATTATTTGGAATGAATTTATTATACTCACGAAAAGTGAATCACATTTTATAAGCTGCTGTCGATTCAAACTCAAGATTTTTCTTGAAATTTCGGGATCACTCTTATGAAGTAGCGTTAGCTGATTCTCACAGAAGTCAAATAGCCAAAAGTGTTCAAGTTCATACTTTCATAGCAAAATATTTTTAATAAAATCATTTCTGTCATCAAGGTCTTTCTAATTAGTAGCATAATACAACCACTATAATAGTTAGCTATCAATAAACCTTTAATAAGAAGTCTAATGTAAAAATCTTACAGATTAGTCACATTATCTTTCTCTCTGCATTAGTATTCCTCTGTGGAGTGGAATCTATTTCAGCTGTGTTAAGGAACTAAGTATTCCAAATAAGAATAGATTAAACCGATTAATTGTAAAGAAATCATATTGTTTGAAAAGACTCAGAATATTTAGCTGTTGTTCAATCCTCTCGTCGAAACTTTTTGAAAGAAATCTTAATTGTTTCTGAATATTAGCATACTAAACATGACAGACTAAAAAAGAAGTCACTGCTATTAGAAGGTCCAAGAATTTTCTGAACTTGATATTATACGTCTTTGTAGAACTAAAGTAACAAACCGTTTCGCGAAAATATTGCCTGTTTAGCTAATACATAAGTGCACCGTTTTTTTCATCAGTTAAATCAACAATTTGAACACGCTGTTTTTTCACCAGTCAAGTCATAAACTTGGACCGACCGATCCGGTCTGAAAAAAATCAGACCGGTTCCAAGTTTGCTCTGAATACAATTCAAAGTTCTATGAAATTTGGAAGATGTGACTTTTATACAACACATCTATGATAACATTTGAGAACTCTGATTTATTTTGCTTGATATATATCGTATATTATTCTTACAATTAAGAATTTGATGCTGCCTTGTTCAGTTTTTAAAGAAACATTATGAGAGATGCATCGAAACTTGATTCAATGAAAATTTTTAAAACTTTCCCTGTAATAATTCTTTACAATGACTAATTAAGAATATAATTTTAATCTGCCTACTATGACAAACATCATCTAAAATATTTTTATAAATTTTTCTAAATTAGAATATCAATAAAAATAAAAGTTTGAATTGAAATTAAATTTTGATAAATATTACTCACATATAACGGGTGGTGCAAAAGTTTTGCGTTAATTTTCTTTTCAGTATTGGATGTTAACGAATCTTCATAGAGACTTAATCTTTGTCTTGTTAGAAAGAGCAAGGTGTCTACTACAAAAATTTGATTCAAAATGTTTACCAAAGACTAAAACCCTTAGGAATAAGTTGAGCCGAAAAAGTGCCTTTCAGCTTAACTCAAAATTAGAGATGAAAAGTGCATTTGCTTAGTTTTTTTGGACTCAGCTTTAGATGTTTAGAGGCACATTATATGTGAGTCTGATCAATGCAATGTGGGCTTTCTAATTATGCAAAAACATTCGAGTTACAAAAGCACAGATTTCAAAGGAAACAGTTTTATTAAAAAGTTGATTTTTTGTCTAGTACGTCCAATGAAGCTTTTCTCACAATGTTTAACAGAGAAACTGAA